GTGTATCATTATACTGGATCCGTGCAGTCGGATTTAAAGGGACAGCAGCCTATAAATACGTGCTGCTGAATATGTCACTAATGTTAATCAAACAGCTATAACAACGATTAATCTAAATTTAATTCATACAGTGAACACTATGCAGTGTTATTTTACACTTAATTATTAAATTTCTGTACCGGAATACTACTGTTTATTTTATCTATGCTTGTAAATTGCGTATTTATTTATTTTTTCCTGACTGTTCACTTGCCTTTAATCATGTTTGAACTTTCTCAGACTATAGATTTTGCTGTGGTATATGAAGAAGTACTTAAAGTGTGTGGAAAGCAAAGTTACAATGATATAAAATTAGTGTCATTCATTTTTTTTGTTTGTATGTTGTATATTTTCTGATTTGTGACATTACTTTTTATGTAATGCTAAAACACTGCTGGTCACTTTCAGAAGTTGTAGTGGTTCTTTATTTTCCAAGAAAGAATGTGAAACAAATCGGTTATATAATTGCTTTATTTTTAAATATTTTAAAATATCATTTAAATTGATTTTACACACTTTAAGCAATATCGTATCGCATATCGAATATCGCATTTTTTAACAAGGTATCGCATATCGCATTTTTCTTCAATATCGCACAGCCCTACAAGTTATACAAATAGTGCAATCATCCTTCAAAAAGTAGTGGTTATTGTAACAACAAAGCGCGTTCTTTGAGGAAGAAAGGAACAGATTACTAGAACAAGCTGCAGGCCTGTTAGTTTGTGTTTACACTCCAAGACTCAATGCACAGATCAATTCTGACATCCAGCATCTGATTCATGGCCATCACTGTCTATCATTGCATTTTCAGATTCAAACCCACATTTAAAGGGGTCATATGATGCTTTTTTAAAGATCATTATTTTGTGTATTTGGTGTAACAGAATATGTTGACATGCTTTAATGTTCAAAAAACACATTATTTTTCAAATACTGTACATTATTGTAGGTCCTCTATGCCCCGCCTCTCTCAAACGCTTCGTTTTCTACAAAGCCCCTCCTTCCGACAAGCGCAGTCTGCTCTGATTGGCCAGCTGACCCAGTGCATTGTGATTGGCCGAACACCGCAA